TTTCGCCCTCCGCGCGAGCAGGACCTTCCTGGTGTCCTTCCGCAGTCCGGGAACTCCTGGACGCGCTACCTGGTGGAGGGGCGACGGGGGTGTGGCCACGGGCGGTGTATGCGGCCGAAGACCTCATCCACTTCGGTAAGATACCCAGGAAGTATGGGGGTTGGATGGAGGGGGGAGGGAGGGAAAGGGAGGTCTTCGTTTTCATTAGTAACTCCTTCGCGTTTTGGTTATGGTTTTAGAGTACAAATCTTTTAGATTCCGTATTATAATCATTATTATTATTATCACCATTTTTTACTGACATCATTTCCAAGCATGTTCCTGCCGTTGCTGTGTTTAATTAAGGACGATAGTGGGTTTCATTTCCATTTCTTTGATTGATGATTAAATTCATTTCAAATGATGCCAATCTATAAACCTTTCGAAAGAGTAACCAATTAGTAGACTTTTAATTACTTTTTCCTGATCAGGTGTTGGAAGAGGCCGCTGTAAGAGGTGTGGACCTCCTATGTATTGACTGAATACTGGTGGGCAGTAGTGATACGCCGATGTGGCTTAACCCTTTATTTAAGAATCACTAGTAGAGAGTAACGCGATACGAAGAATGCGATATACTGGCGGTGCCGAGTGAAAGCCCGGACTGCCCGCTAGCAAAGCAGGGGCTGGCCGGCGGCGGGCGTGAGGTCTTGGAGGGAGCGTAGTGAGCGAGTGAGGGCGAGTGAGAGATGGGTCAAGCTCTGCTGACCTCTTATAGGCCTGATGGGTGCCCGAGGCGTATTTGGATGGAGGGCGACCGAGCGTGGCGTGGCTACGCGACGCCAGGGAGGAAATTTACAAGGGAAATCATGCTAGGAGGAAAGCCTAAAGGAAACCCAAGCCTCCCAAGCCACGTGTGTAAACGTATAGGTATAATTGGCCTTGCAGATGCTTTAACAGAAACTTTTTACTCCGTTTTGCAATCATAACCACACGGCAGATGGCCATCTCCACGGGATTGATAAGTGCAATCAGGTTTCTTTACATTAGATATAACTACTGACGAAAATCCTAGTTGGCAACTTCTGAGCTTAGCCCAGGCTCATCACTCATATTCATTTAAAATATTAAATATTTCTTCTACTTATATTTTTCCTTTTTTTTTTATAATTCTAATGACGTCACCACGTTTAGCCAGTGAGTGTTCTGTGAAATATCAGATATAGCTAAATACATAATAATTTGTATGGTTTACTCGCTATTGTGTGTGTGTGTGTGTGTGTGTGTGTCTGTGTATATGTGTGTGTGTATGTATGTATATATGTACATTTATATTTGTATTTGTACACATATGCACACATATACTTAGCATAACTTGTGTTAATAGTGAGACAGCAGTTCTTTAAATTAATATATATATAATTATCAATATGCATTTGATACTTGACATCTATGCTATCCTTTTATTTTCAGGAACGGAGAGCCAAGAAGGAAATCTGAACGGGAGAGTCATACTCATCAAAATCCACGCCGACGACAAACGAAGGATTCCCGACGACGTCCCTGTGATATTACTCATAAGAGATCCCGCCGAGTAAGAAACGTTTACAAACGTTCGTGTTGTATTCACAGTTCGCTATTCTTCGTTGGTATGCTTTGATAACGTAGATCAGAGATCCTCTTCTCCGTAGATCAAAGAAATACAACCTTCCGCGCTTTGATATGTTAAGAGCACTTCCCAAGAGTTTCACGTAGTCTCACCTTCTTGGAGCGACAATGCTATTAAACTGTACGGGACCCTCCCTCCACATTTCACACACAGATAAATGACTGTTTGTTCTTTTCTTTTAAATGATATATTTTAGACCGTAATAATTTTATGATCTAGATTTACACTGTAATACTATTATATAATGCTTTGACCATGTATCAAATGTACCACAGCTTGCCCACACCTGTGCAGTTAGCCAGGGTGGTAAATAAAGGACTAAACTAAACTATCTCCACTCTCCCGTGTTTATCCCGCAGAGCCATCATTTCCTTCTTCAGTTTCATGAACGGGGAAGGAAATACCAAGAAATGGCTCAGGAATGTAACCGATGATATTTACTTTACAAAAGGTGAGTGACGTGATATGCTCAAAATTTTGGATGACGTGTTAAATCATTATAATTGTGCTAGCGATAAATAGCGTTTAATGATTGCTTTATTAGAGAGCGACAACAGTCCTCGATAAAGGTGATGGTGCTCTCGATAGTGATGATACCAAGGAAGATGATAATCATAAAGCAACGTTTTTATTGTCATTCTTCTTTTATTTTTTTGCTATTATTTTCACCATTACCAGTTTCATCGCTATTGTTGTTATTAACGTCATTATCATTATCATCGTTATCACTGTTATTATCATCATTGTTATTATTGCTATTATTTTTATTCCTTTAATGTTGTTATTATTATTTTTATCATTATTATTGTTATTATTTTTATCATTATTATTGTTATTGTTGTTATTAATGTTATTATTACCATTATTATTATCATCATCATTATAATCATTATCATTATTATTCTAATATCATTATTATCATTATTATAATTATCATTATTATTCCATCATTATCATCATTTTTATTATTCTTATTCTTATTCCATTATCTGTAAATCTGTGCGTTGTTTCGAAAATTAGCAGGATTAAAAAAGTTATGAAAATTTTTTTCATGATTTTTTTTTATCAGATGCGTGTCTTAGTCCAACTTAGATGCCATTCACTTCCGGTGGCGACCCAGATCAGGGTCCGGATCCAGGAATTTGTTATAACACCAGTGACCCTTTTGCTTGGCGGAGGTATGCGCTCTCAGGGTGCTTCTAACTTAAAATTATTGTTATCATTATCATCATCATCATCATTATTATTATCATTATTATTATTGTTGTTATTATTATTATTATTATTATTATTATTATTATTATTATTATTATTATTATTATTATTATTATTATTATTATTATTATTATTATCATCATTATTTTTATCACCCTTATTACTATCATTCTTCTCCTTATTATTATTATCATTATCATTGTTACTATTATTGTTATTACTATTTATTTTATTATTATTATTATTATTATTATTATTATTATTATATTATTATTATTATTATTCATTATATATTTTTTATTATTATCAATGTCATTATTATTATTATTTCCATCATCGTTATCATTATTATTGTTATCATTATCATCATTGCCATTTTATCATTATTTTATTGTTATTATTACTACCATTAGTATCATCCTTTTTTTCGTCATTATCCTCAATATAATTTCCTTTATCATTACTATCATTTTGTCATTATCATTGGTATCTTTATCGTTATTATTCTTGTTACTGTTTAGGTTATTAGCGCCATTATTACCATCACTATTATCACCATCAGAAGCGATAATGATGGTGATGATAATGATGATAAGGAAAAAAATAATGATAGATATGATGATAATAAAAAAATAATAATGATAATGATAATAATGAAAAAATAATAATGATAATGATAATGAATAATAATAATAATGATAATAATAGTGGTGATGATGATGATGATGATGATGATGATGATGATGATAATAATAATAATAATAATAATAATAATAATAATAATAATAATAATAATAATGATAATGATAATGATAATAATGATAATGATAATAATAATAGTAATAATGGTAATGATAATGATGATGATGAAAATGATAATAATAATAATAATAATAATAATAATAATAATAATAATAATAATAATAATAATAATAATAATGATAATAATGATAATGATAATGATATTAACAACAACAACAACAAAGTAATAATAATGATAATAATAATGATAATAACAGTAATGATAAAGATAGCAATATTAGTATTAATAGTAATAGTAGCAGTAATGATGATAAAAATGATGATGATAATGATAATGATAATAACAATGATAATGGTAATAATAGAAATAATGATGATGACTATTTTTATAATGATAATGATGATAATAATGATAATGATAATGATATTGATAATAAAGGTGATATAACAATGACAATGATAATGAAAATAATGATAATTATGATAAAAATGTTAACAATGAAAATGATGGCTTTAATGATAATAATTATGATGAAAATAATGATAGTAATAACAATAACAATAATGATATTAATGATAATAATAATAATAATTATAATAGTAATGATAGTTAATGTAGTATTAATGATAATATTAATAATGATAATTATAATGATAAAAGTAATTATGATAATTATAATGATAAAAGTAATATAATTAATGAATTATGATAATAATATATAATATTAATCATTATAATGATAAAAATAATTATGATAAAAATAGTAATAATGAATCATGCTAATCAGGATAATCAAAATGATGATATAATGAGATACTGTAATAGTATAAGAGAG